TGGGTTCCCATCTGTGACTGAGGGTCCAGTAATTCAATTTTTTCTATCACCATGGGGCCAGTGATGACAAAGGATCTTGAATCTCAATAATGATCTATCTGGTGGATTCCAGCAAAGAGCTAGTAGCTTCCTCTACATTGTCTTAGTTGGGGTTTCTATTGCTGTGAAGAGACACTATGACCATGGCAACTCTTATAAAGGAGAACATTTCATTGGCGTGGCTCGCTTATAGTTCTGAGGTTCAGTCCATTATCATCACGGCAGGGAGCATGGCAGTGTGCAGGCAGACATGGTGCTGGGCAGGTAGCTGAGAGTCCTACATCTTGCAGGTAACAGGAAATGGTCTTAGTGTCACACCGAGGGAAGCTTGAGCAAAAGAGACTGCAAAGCCTGCCCCCACAGGGACATATTTTCTCCAATAAGGCCACGCCTACTCCCACAAGGTCATACCTCTTAATAGTGCCACTCCCTTTGGGGGGCCATTTTCTTTCAAACCACCCCGTACATTGTCTCACAGGATCATACTACTGTGACTCCCACTTTCAGATGAAGAAACTGAGGCCTACTGAGTTAAGAGACTAGTGCAATTTATTGCAAGGAGCTGTTTGCTTGTTCCAGCACTTGAATGAGCGAGCGGCTCCCGAGCCTGTGGTTTTAACAGTCAGTTTCTCCTTCTCTCTGCACCATGCTTCCCGTATTTTCAAAGATTTTTGTCTACCAAACAAACTGCATTTATCAAGTAATAATTTGTTTTCCCATTTTTTATTAATCAAAGCCATGTATGACTGACAATCAGGGGTTCAGATCAGCACAAGATTAGTGGTGTTATCACACTGAGTTGATGTAATTCCAGCCAAAAGCAGAGAAATGATGTCTCAGTTAGTAGTCTTGCAGCCTTATCTCTGGCAAATGTGTCATTTCTGCTAGGCATACAGAAATGTTAAAATAGCTCATGAGTCCCCATTGCTCCCTGGGGACACCTGTAGGGGTCTGAGGACTGAAGATCAGGACCACTGGCGTCCATCCTCTTGATCCTCATTATCTGTTCTGTTCAGGTGTCAGTGCCTCTGTGACCTTCCTTGGTGTCTTTCTGCCACAGAGGGGACCACACAGCAGCCCTGGCCTCAGCCACCACTGTTAGGGTCAGAGTGGGCAGCGTGACATCCTTTCTGTACACACAGATGCACAAGTACGCGTGTCCACACCCGTACTATACATGCACAGATGTGAATGTATATGAACTATTATACCGAACACCGACCTCTCTCCTAA